CACATTCAACTAAAAACTTAACAACCATTGCTAACATGATTAATTACACCTGTGTGTGGGCAGTCCTGTGTGAGAAAGGTCGGCTGGGTCACTGGGATTGACCGACATTATCAACCACCTGATCTGATGGAGGTTCCTCACAGCACCAGCCTAATTTTTTGGGATTTTTTTCTCCAGATAAAGATATAGAGTCAACCTTTTATCTCTCTTTCTCTCGCTCTCTCTCTCTCTCTCTCTCTCATTCACAGCTGATGCCTAGTTGATGTGCGGGGCCCACTGAGCCAACCCCATTCTGTCAGTGTCAGGGAACTGAAACAGCCCCTCTCTAACCCCTCCGGACTGGTGGGGCCCAGGGACACTGAGGACCAGAAACAGCTTGTCACAATCAGCAGCTTCAGGCTCTGTTAGCATACAAATGTGGACCAAGACAAGGAAATACTTTTGTCTGAAGGGACGTATGGGCCATTATTTCCAGGTCTGGTAAAGGGCCCTGGTGGCGGTTAACCCTTTCTTTTTCTTTCTTTTTTTTACCACATGGGGATTAGGGATAGGGTTAATAATCTGGACGCTACATCTTGAACATATCTGAAATATTTTACATTGAATGTAGTATATGACTTACAATAAAGGCACAAAAGACAAAAAAGGAAAGTGATAGAAGTATAAGGCATAATAGAGCAATCTGACCAATAAATGATAAAGAAGAAACAAGCGTACGATTTGTACTTTTAACTTAGGCAAACTTAGTGTAATTAAGGAAATCAGTTGCCACACATATTTTGAGTTTTATTAGATCAATGTTTCTTAGTTGTGGTCAATTAAATAACTGGAATGAAAAAATATTGAGTGTATTAAACATGAAATACTGTGTTTTTATACTTAAAATGATTAAGTTCTGTTAATTTATTTTAATGAGTGGGGTGAATGAATATTGTGAGTTGCATATACTAAAAATATTTGAGTTGGTTTGATTTGAGTGTATATGTGTGTGACTGTATGTGTGGCAGACTCCAGGAACAATAGGCAGTGTTTATGCTGGTGCTAATTGGGATCTGAAGAAACAAAAGAAAAGGACACGCAGCTTTAAATCTGTAGCAGAGTGTTCAAGCTGAAATCCACGACGAGTCTGAGACAGATTCACTCCTTCAGATTGCTTTCATTTACATCTCAAGGAACTAGTCAGCAACGTCTCCAAGCTCTCCCAGTCATGATGACATTTTACTGGAATTATATCACCTGTACATAAAATACTGCACACATTTAAGTTCACTCAAAACAACTGCCTCAACAATTCTTTTTGAGTTGGGTTTAATTCATGTGAATGAATCTAGTTTCTTGGAGGATTAATTTATTTTAACGTGCTTCTTTTATTAAGATGTTTTGTCAGGTTTTACAGTGTGCCTTTTTAAGAATTTTAATGTGACATTTATAGTTTTTTGTGGGAAAAACACATCAGACATATTTGTTTATGTTATAATACAGGTCTGGAGTTTTTTTAGTAAGTAGGGGGTTAGAACAGATCTGTGTTCACCAGCGTTTCTATCGAGGAATCAGCCAACACCTCAGTATCTGACAGCAGGATCAGAACCACATTTCAAAATAAAATGTTCACTCTATTTTACAATTACTTTTATTAAACCTGCATATATATATATATATTCCGTACACTCCTCATTTATAGCTTCACTGATACAATATTTCCTTAATTAAGCATATTTTCTTTTAAAACATCAGCATTTTTACCAAGAAACTATCATCGGTACTTCTATTCCTGCTGATGGGTGTTGGTGTACAGTTTCCATGTGCTAATATTAGATTCTGCTTATAAAATTACAATATTGTTAAATGATTCCTGTCCGTTCTCTCCTCTTCAGGGCTTATTAAAAGAACCTTTCTTCAAACCACAATCAGTGCTCCCTCTCTCTGTCTTTTCTTTATTGTCAGTAATATCCACGCATTCATGTGATCTCAGAGTTGCGCTCTCCGGAGCTCTCCAAGGCACTCAGAATAAATCCTGGTACTGTTGGTTACTGCACCCCCACGCACTTCTACACCCACAGCACATGCAAATTCCTCCTTAGGAATAAAGAGTTGCTCCGTACACGTTAAAGCCGCACAATGCTGATAAAAAAAACATGAGGAAAAGTCTAAGATGGATTTAAAAAATGATACCAAACTACCACAAGAATATCAGAGCCCCTTAGAAATGTCAAGACGGAAAAAAATGACTTTAATACCAAGCATCTAAAAATGTGTAAATATGTGAATGCAGACGGATGGAGGACAGGTGGGGGGGTTTCGAGTGCTTACCTGCAGGAGACGGTGATTTCAATCTTTGTCGCAGGTACGGTGGAGTTGAGTGGGTCGAAATCCCCGATTGTCGCCATGGCTGAGAGGTTTTTCTTTTAAAATCACTTCTTCTGAATCCTTGAAGTTCTCACTTATATTACAGCTCGGATTCTCCCGTGGCTGTACCGTGCTCGTTCCATCCACCCGAGACTGAGAGACGGAGTGAATCGGCCGGCTCCGGTAGTAGTAGTTGTTGCTGCTGACGGTCGCTGGAGCGCAGTTGAGGGTTAGGAGGCATACCTGAGGATGAGGCTTTCATTCATGGCGAGAGGGGGAGAGAGAGAGAGACACACCGGAGCTACAGACGCAGATCTAGAAGCTCTTCGTTTCTCTCCATCCATCGCCAGGTGGAGGCAGAGACCTCCACAAGTTCTTCTGCTGTGCCTGGGCGAAACTTGTGGTCTGAGTATGGAAGGTGATTAGTGCCATAAAAGGAGCAGGCGGAGGAGAGGCGTTCAAGGCCAACAGAGCCCTATTGTGAACACTCAAATGGTGAGTACTCCAAATCTTTATGTTTTTATGTATGGACAATATATTTCAGCAACTGCTTGGCTTATTTGGGCAATGTTGGTTATTGAGGATGCTGAATCCATTTAATACATTTTCAAAGTCAGGGGCATTACGAGTCAGTGCCATGTCCCAGTGCATGAGGATCAAAGCGGGTCTTCCCATCACAATCAGTGGCGCATTAAAGAAGTGAAAGCATGCAGCTTTAAAACAACCAGGTAGGTAGCTGCTGACACCTAAATTAAATGAAAATATATAGCCAGATATAGAAGATGAGTCATAATAGCAAGGCTAAGACTGTGATAGACTAGCTTGCTTAACCAAATTTGTGTTGAGGTTGTGTTGATTTTTAGGTCATTTATTTTCTAAGTACATAAGCACAGAGGCAAAAACAACAACAAAATGCTGCTCAGCAAAAAACACAACTAAAGAAATTTGAATTAATGTTACGTCTGAACATTCACACCAATGACATTGAGCTTTCTTGAATCCAAAATGCAGGTCCAATGTATTTAGCATATAAATAACCTCAAAACTGACTCAAAATTAATTAATCAAAATCAGTCCACTGGGAGCTGAAATATGGCCACATCTGGTTTAAACAGCCATTTGGATTATTTCAGAAATGGATTCAGCATCCTCAATAACCCTCAAACCCACTCCTATATTGTCCTATTGGCCAAACAGTTGCTGAAATATTGCCCATATGCTCATTAATGCTAATTATGAAAAGTGCCCAACATTTGCAAGATAGCATTTGGAAGTCTCTAAATGCTGGGGACCCATACTTTACATTTCTAACATAAAACTTAAAACTTTGGGGTACTCAACATTTTCTTGTGTTTCTTTACTATTTAGGGAGACTTTTTCTACCATTGAGTAAACTAAGTGACATTTTATTGACATTTCATATTATATTCAATGAATACCAATAACAGTAGAGAACAACTGATAATGAGCCCAAATAGTGAACACAATAACTTCAGGAAGTTTGTGTAAAATGAGCAATTTGGATACATTTGGAGCAGTTTTCTTGATATTTTTAGGCAGTTTTATACCATTCCCTGTCTGTATTATGTTTTTTGTTTTATTTTCTTTCAACAGTCATACATAAATAATAGTTTCTTTGTTTTTTTTACAAATTCAGTGTTTTGTTCTCATTGTTCTATTAGCTTTTTGGCTGCTTTAACGGCCCACTTTTCTAATGCAGGACAAATCAGAAAGTGAAGAAATGAGTGAAAATAGCTTGTGTTCAGGTCTTCACTGTGCTCTTATCCTGTGCGGATTTTTTTAAGTTTAAGGAATGTAGTGGTGTACGGATTGCAACGGTGCTGTTAAAGAAAAAAAAAGGTGTGCATGATTTAGGAATTTGTACACACAAATTAATCAATTCATGCTCTCAGTTTAATATCACATATATTTGCCCCCTCCCCACTCTTGTAGCGGGCAGCAAACACCCTTGGTGCTGTTTTATCAAATTAAAGTCACCTGGCAAGATGGCAGAACTGAGTTGGGAAAGGAAAAATAATTGCCATGTAAGGGTGACAGAAAATGCTAAAAGCTAAAAGAGGAATCGGAGGAGAAAGAGTTTGATGAGTAAAGACAGGAGACGCAACAAGAGGGCCGTGACAGAGACAGGGAAGAGGAACATATAGCCACAGAAATGTAAAATAAACAGGGAAAGCAAAAGAAGGAAGACACTGAGAAAGCAGACCAGACCCTCTCCTTTGTGGCATTAATCCCCATTAATCTTAATTAAGTTAAACCCATCAACAGTTGATTAGTTAAGATAAATATTTTATGTTTGAATAATTCATGAACCATGAAACATTTTAGCGCTCACACCTCCGAGGCAGCGGGAGGATGTAGTTGACTGGGTTCAGGCCAGGTTTCAGCAAGCACCTGCTCTGCTGTAGTATCACTGTGTGGGTTGACCTCTGACCTACACATTTAAAAGGGACCTGAGAGAGACTTTTACCACAGAAATCTGTTAAAATATGACGATGCATTTATCTTAACATAGCTGAATTTAGCTACAAAGTGTGAATTTGAACGCCCCAGTTATACAATTGCTTTATGCAATCACACTACATTTGACACAGAATTCTCATTTGCCAAACTGTACTTTGTCTCATCTGTGTTAAGAAAGACCACTTAACATCAGCTCAGCCGCTAAGGGAAGTAGATAGTATGGTGTAAATAGTTAATACATTTCACCATGGATGATAATGAATAAATCACAAGTATAAAGCTACTTTTATATGCTGAAGCTAATTCATTTAGAATGAAATAAGCAAGCCGCAAATACATTCTCTTTTTTCATTTATTCACAATTGCCACTTACTGCTCAGTTCACCTTTCATTGTAGCCTGCCAACAATTAAGAAATCAAAGGTAGAATTACTTAAAAATGCATCAACTGTACAAAGAAGAAAACTTTAAACCTCAGGATGAGTGCAATGCAGCATTTTAATAAAGAGATTCTGAAATAAAAATTAACTTGTAAAAACAAATAAAACCATTATATGCCGCAATTGAGAGTAATGCAAAACAAGTAAACGAAAAAGTGACAGACTGAGTTTTTGGAGAGTATTTGAAAGTATCTCAGAATAAGTCATTTCAGCTATGTGAAAATGACAGTAATGCTTTTGTGTGTCCTGTGATGCTCAACAGCTACAGGCAGACTGTAGAAATGATGCCAAAATAAAAACAAATGATATGAAAGCTTGACTGAATTATAGCTCCTCTTCAGAAAAGGTTTCTTACCAAGAAAGCTGACAGAGAGGAGGCCATGCCTGAAAGTCTCAAATAAAGCTGGACAGATTTGTGTAGGATTACAAAATAAAACCACTTTGACAGCCCAGGCAAATACATGCGGTCATGTGAACCAAATACAAACAAATTCCTTACAATGTCAAAGAAAAAAGGGATAAAAACTAACGTGGCTTTAAAAATAGTTTAGCAAATGTCTTTTTGTGGTACAAAGAAAGCAGAATTTGGCTTGGAATCTATAGCAGAACACCAAATTCTGCCAGTAAAAAGACAATTGCTTATTTGAATTCTTTCTGAGAGTGAGATGTGAAAACCAATACCACTTGTGTCTGTGAGTGAAATGCAGAGCTGGAGTTAGCCTAACCTAGCATAAAGTCTAGAAACGCCTGACGACGTCCAATCTGAAAAACACACCTAACAACACCTCTAAAACTGACTGATCAACACGTATCTCGTCTTTTAACCCATACTTGGACAGAAAAGTAAAAATCCAGAACTAACAGGCTAACAGATTAACTGTTGTTCATTAAGAAATATGGTAATTACACCACCAAAATCCCCCGAAAATGTCAAATTGCCATTTTTACATTTCTGTTTGTGTGTGGATTCAGTAAACTAGATAAACACGTTAATGAGCTTTAGAGGTGTTGATATGCATATTTTTGAACTTGAAAAAAGGCAGAGCTAGCTGTTTCCCCTCAGTCTAAACATGTCCCATCTCTAGCTCTGCACTAAGACATGATATTGATGACAATCTTCTCATCTTACTATCGGAAAGAAAGTGAGTAAGTGTACTTCCCCAAATTCCTACTTGAATTATTCCTTAAAATCAATAAAATCCTCTTCAGCTACAGTCTCTTTCAAAAGCAGAAATGAACATCTCTTTGTGCCTTAAATTTGGGTGTGAATGAAAAATGTCAACTGTATCAGTTTGTCTATAAGACTCAACAGCTTTATGTTACTGTACAACTAAAAAAGACTTATAGTCCTTCAACAAAGTGAGTGACAAAGGGGCAAAATTCCAAAAGCTTCATTGCAAAGCTAATGCTGCTAATGCTCTACAATCAAAACTTTTATTAACAATCTGCTGCAAACACCCCAAGCTCTTGAAACCATTTAAGTAACAGAAATACACCTGAAACTGGATCAGAGTAGTAGAGGTCTGATCCAGCATTACTGAAGATAAAAAAGGCACAACAAAACGTCCTGAGGTACAGCAGCCGTCAAAACCGTTTGGCAACACCGACAAGCTAGTTTCAAATAAAATCTCTCAACAGAAATCTCTGAAGAAATTTACTTTAAAGTGTGAATCTAGCTGAGAGTGGCCCAGGTAGAAATGTCGGTCTAAGTGTGACCTGAAAATACAGCTCACGTGTTTCGGAACAACAGTTGTGTGGTAACAGCTGGGCGGAAATCTCAGCACAGGCAGGAATCACGTGGACCTCGTTTCACTGGAGTCCAACGAGAAAGGACTCTGGAAAGGCATTCGGTTCACAGGTTTGCTACCACAATGCTCAGTGCCTCTTGTGCTACCATGTCAGTGCTAAAGAAGAAGAAGAAGAAGAAGAAGAAGAAGAAGAAGAAGAAGAAGAAGAAGACCGGATATGAACTCAAGTAAAGGACATGACATTAGACTGGCGAGGTGAAAAGATCGTTGCTTCATCTTCTGCATTTTCAAAAACTGAGTGAACAGTCGCTGTAAATGTTTAATCCTTATTTTATGAAGATAATATTTTGTAATATAACTTGAAAGTCATCTAGTTCAAGGATAGGATCAGATTTTGTTTAAGGCATCTACCTCACATACCATATGTACGCCTGCTGGTCGCTGTAATCATCCCTTCTGTCCATACAGGCTGAGAAGAGATAACTTTCTAGTGTACCCCGAAATAGGGCCCAAATATCACATTCTGTTGCATCTCACACCTCTATATAATGACAGACTTTTTGCCCAGCATGCAAGTGTGACCACTCCTAACCACTATGAACACTTTTGCCTTGTGTGTTCTGGTTCAGCCAACCCTTCACACAAACTAGTTTGTACGCTTGAGTTCCCACTGAGGCTTCAAGGTTTCAGTATGCTTCAAACAAAGTGCTTGTTGGATCATTGAACAGCATCCCATAAGTCATTCGGGGTGCTGCGTCCGGCAGTTTCTGTGACTTTCTGAGACCCATAATCCTTCCACTTCACACACTGATTGACAAGGTGTACGGAGGTGAGAAAGTAGGCAGGTTTTGAACTTTTTTTGCAACACCATGAATGCCTTCAACACGAAACTGTCTGAAAAGTATGCACCCTTATCCCCATTTTAACATTCCCTTAGACTTGTTTGGACGACACTTCATACAAACTAATTGTCAGATTCACACTGTAAGGCTTTGTGGCATCATCAATCAGCACGATACCCCTTATCCCGAGTCAGATTTGGGGCGCTGTGTCTGGCAGTTTCTGTAACTTTCTGAAACCTTCAATCCAGCCACTTTACCCAGTGATTGGGTCCCTCACAACAACTGGTGTAAATACTTTTGCCTTTAGACGTGGTCAGACATGTTGTATAATTGTTGTTTCAAGTATGGTGAACCCTGAACTCCAAAGGGATTTGGCCAAGACTGAAATTGCTTATCAAGTCACAGAATATGGACAACACTTGGACAAAGCACAGACACTAACTCAAACTTCTGAAGCTTCATATTAGCTTAACGTGGACTGCAGATACAGTACAGTTGCACTACAAAGGAATGTCTTCAACCCCAGAGTGGACAGAAGGAATTACTACAGCAGCCAAAAACTCCTTCAATGTACATATGGCATGTGAATACTGCATTAGGACAGACTTTTAAAAATTCAACCTTCAACCTTCCATCCTTATCCAATTTCAATTTTCTGTGCTAAATTAGAAACCAAAAACCTTGGTACCATTTCTGTCAGAACACAATAAGTGCTGTATTTATCTCTTCTTCCAAATCCACCTGAACAAAAGAACTTTCCACTGCTTGGGTCAGTTAAGAATAGCAGCACAAAACAACAGGACTAAAAACATATCGCTTCCTGTGCATGGGACGGTCACTGCAAGGATTTTAAAAAAAATATGAGCAGATTAAGGAAGAACAGAGGAAGGAAGAATTCTTTATATTCTGCCTGTAACAGGCACAGACCCCATGTTCTTAGCCACTTACATTTCATTATCCCTTTTTGATACTGTGGCTGAAACCATTTCCCTCCCTGAATGTGACAGATAAACTCAACACACAAGATTAAAAGTCCAGAGAAAACTTGGAGGATCACAGAAAAAACTAAATCCGGACATGTAAGGTTTAAAAACAAAACCAAAGTAAGTTTTAAAAAAAAGAAACAAATGCTTCAGCCCTGCACTGAACCGAGATGTTTGGCACTTTGTCGTACTGAGTCCAGATGTGTTGAATCGTCTGTTGATGGATGGATGGAAGAAGAAGGAGGGTCTGAAGTCACATTGAGAGGGTTCAGACAATGGCGTTTGTGCCCCGGAGGCCTACCCCGCGGGCGAACTGCTCCAGCAGGCCGGAGATTGCGCCAGAGGGGCTGGGCACCGAGGACTTGAGGCCGACAGTGGAGCTGTAGGCCGCCAGGAAGACTTCCCGCACCGCCTCCAGGCGGGCCTGACGCTCAGAGGGAAAGGGACACCTGGAGAGGAGAGAGAAAGGGGGGAGAGGAAACAAGAGGGAGGAAGATAAAAAGACAGGAAAAAATAAAAGGTTAGGAAACTGAAGAAATCAGCAGAGGAAAAGAACAGAATGACGCAGGCAGAGGCAGTTTGGATCACTTGGGCCACAATGTACTCGTGAATTAACCATTACAGAGCTCACACTCATCATCATCACCATCTCTCTGCTCCTCTCCCATCTTCCCAGTTCCTCTCACTTCCTCCGAAATAAGATGGATAGACGTTATTTGCCTTTCCTACCGCAAGTGACGCCGGTGGGACACTCTCAATTTGGCAGTCTGATCAAGCAGATTAAAATGTGTCCCCTGCTGGGAGCAGAGAGTAGGAGGATGAGTCAGAGGGAGAACCCGGTGGAAAATTCATCTCCCAAGATTCTCCTCCTCGTCTATCGTATGGTTCAGTGGGGGGGGGCAGAGATCAGTGACGGCCTTTTTTTTTTAAGCACATACATTCCCTTAAATAAGAATACTGACCAAGATAAAAAAATCAACCTGTCAGTCCTCTCTGTTAGACACATACTGTTTCTGTGTTCTTCAAACATATATTTGGCGTATATTTGGCACTTTTGTACTGCAGTATTTTGTTATTTATAGGCTGGCGTATATGCCAATACGGCACACATTGAAATGCCATATGCCACAAAAAAAGATCTGTATGCTGCAATCATCATATGGTTGTTCTCATTTGCTGTTTCTTTATCACGGCTCATACACGTGTTAACCAGGCAGTCATTCCCAAGCTGCTGCTAATAAAATAGTGATTTAATGATCACAACATTGTCTGACAACTGTGCCTTGTGACTGGCTATAGTGGCATTTAAAGTGAGTAACCGCACACTTGGAGACAACAAAAGGTTGTCTTCTTTAACTTCATGGTCACACAGCCTCTGACTGAGACTGGTGACCAGTGGTTTCCAAATATTTTCATAAGATGTACCTCCCAGCCCAGTCCGAAGTACATCTTCATAAACACCACCATTTATGTTATTTGAATCAATTTCAAACTGGGTGTGATTTAACTCTTAATCCGATTTGGATATACTAGTGGATGTTACAATATTTTATTTTTTTGGTTTTAAGAAGGCCTTGCAAACCACCATAAAGCTTTGGTGACCCCCAGTGGTTGGGAATCACTAGCTGATGTTCTATATGGAGAAAAAACCCATCATCCAGTGACAGGAACTTGCTAAATTGATCATACCATGGACACCATCCAGGATGAGCTTAGTTTCCTTAGTAAGAACAACAGGAAAAGAAGCACAGGGTTTCCTTAGTACCTGAACCACATGTCACATACAGGACTGAAACTGTGTGTTTTTATTAATGGAGTCCCAATAGAAAGCCTGAGCAGAGGGACAATAATGGATGGGTTGTACATCGGGTCACTTACATCCGTCCACTGGGTCCTTCATCCTGAAAACTGAAGGGCAGGGGGGAGTCGTAGGCAGCAGCGACAGCAGACGAGGTTGAGGAGGCTGAGGCCAGAGGAGGAGGGAAGTGGGCGTGGTCATGGATGCTGCCACAACCCGAAACTATCTGCCAGCTCCCATACTCTGTAGAGAGGGAGGAACCTGACCGAGTGTAGTCTGCTGCTAACCTGAGAGACGGACAACAGAGAGAGTTAACAGTCCTACCTGTAAGCATCCAGGTATTCACAGGTCTTCCATAGTGCGGAATGATAATAAGCAGATAATAAGCCGAGCAGTTGCTTTCAGAAAAGACAGGAATACATTTGTGGAAGGTTCAACTAATCTTAACTCATATTTAAATTATTCATCACAAAGACTGAGTTTGGATGTCTGGCAATAATAACCCCCCCTCATTTTACACTTGTTTTTTGTCTTTACATAAATGTTATCATCAGCCTTTTGTTGATATGCCAACGTTTCCAAGACACACAAGTTCATTGTGCAGTTTTGAATAGAATATGAAATATCCAACATTTGAGCAGGGGTCAAAAGGGGGTCCTTTAAGGAAAAAGGTTGCGAACCACTGATGCAGCCCAATATCACAAATAACGGGCTTTACAATCTGTACACTATACAACCTTAGACTCCGATAATGGATAAGGAAAAACTAGTATATACTAGTATAATATAACTAAAAGGTATATTAGTCCAAAAGTATGTTTTAACGGTGTGAGGTTTTCATCTTATTTCAGTAATTCATGGGATAATTATTTTATTTTATTATTTTTTTGGCCTTTCATTGCCTTTATTGATAGTAACAGCCGAAGATTGACAGGAAAGGGGGGTAGAGAGAGGGGATGACAAGCAGCAAAGGGCCACAGGTCGGATTCGAACCCAAGCCGCTGCAACAACTCTGTACATGGGTCGCCAGCTCTACCGACTGAGCTAACCGGGCACCCATTCATGGGATCATTTATATACATAGAATTTGAGCATGGCCAAATAATTGTTTCATATCATCCAGTTCTGAACATTAGAGGAAGAGACTCTCTGATTGCCCATGCATGAGCTGCAGGCTCTGTTGGTTCACTGGTTGGTCTGCAGGGTGAGAGCACAGTGCCTCTGGTGATCATCCAAAATTTACATTACTCAACTTAAGTGTGTATAAAAATAAGATGGCACGCAAACTTGGGACTGGCTGATGGAGTTCACTCGTCTCACTCACCTTCTTCCAGGGACAGCCAACGGGCTGCTGCCAGTGCGTGTGACGCCGTGTTCTGACTGGTTGGAGGAGGAAGAGCTGGAAGACCTGGCCTCATTGAGTGGATGGGAGAGGTGCTCTTCCACAGGGTTCTGTTTATTCCAAACAACCATCTGAGGAGAGGAGGTGGTGCCTTTTCTCCTGAGGAGAAGAAGAACACATCAACATCCAGAGGAGGAGGAGGAAGACTGTATGTAGTAGCTTGTGATAGAAGTTTACCAAATGAATGTATGCCTTGATGGAAATACGAAAACTAGCTTTGTACTGATTAAAGGTTATTTTGATTCAACCAGCTTGAAATTAATAATTCCATGAAAATTAACCGACATGGAAACACGACTGGTTTGCTCCTTCATTGATCCAAATCAGTCCAATTGTGGGGCTAAGGCCCTGGAAGCTGGACATTAGCGCTGCATGAAAAAACACAGGGCAGTCATTTATTTCATTGAGACCAAACAAAGAAGAAGAATTTTTTTTTGCCAAAGTGCCACCTGGCACCTGGCAAGTTAGAGAGTCAAGTAGAAGTCAGCTTAAGCGCACAATCATGGTTGTGTGCTATTCTCCCCCTGTAAAAAAAATGACTTGCAGATTCCTTGCTTCTTTGTTTCTGATTCCACTGTCCTCAGCATTTTAACATCACAATGCAATACAGTGGTTCCCAAAACCTTTTTCCTTAAGGGACCCGTTTTCTGTCATTGAGTAACCTGACATTATTATATGGATATTTCATACTATATTCAATGTATAACAACAACTGATAAACTGTACAATGAACCCAAACAGTGAACACAATAACTGCAGGAACTTTTTATACAATTCTGTCTGTATTATATATTTTTTTATCATTTCTAAACAATTACACATACGAATAGACTTCTTTTTTGACACTTCAGACTTCCCTGATGCTTGGCTATTGCTCTATCAGCCCTTTGGTTGTTTGAACTTTTCTAAGGCAGGACAAGACTGTTTATCAGAGAGTGCCATCGGCAGAACCACATTCACGGACATAAACCCAGCGGACGCAGAAGAGCTACGCGACTGCGGTCTGCTCCAGAGGCCTGCTCAACCACCGACCCCCACTCCTGCAACCAGCCCACAGTGGAGGCGCCACAGGCGGAATATGAGGAAGCAGAAGAGGGGAAAGCGCGGAGGTATCCAGGCTAGGCTAGCGGCTAGCCCTCACCGGCCGGCTATCCCTACCATCACACTGGCCAACGTACACTCGCTGGAAAACAAATTGGATTATATCCGCCTACTTCGCACAACTTCTAAGACTGTGGGTGAGTGTTGTGTCCTTGTGTTCGTGGAAACATGGCTTAACAACAGCGTCCCGGACTGTCCCGGACTGTGCCATTCAGCTAGCCCGGCTAACATGCTACCGGGCAGACAGAGCGCTCGTCGAGGGGGGGGAGACTCGCGGCGCGACTCTTTGTTTACATCAGCGATGCCTGGTGCCACGACGCTGTTGTGGTCTGCAAACACTGCTCATCACTGGTGGAGTTTATGGTTATTAAATGACGGCCAGCATGTCTAGACCATACACAGAGGTGCCTATAAAGCCCGTTCCCTCCCCCACCTTGGGGCCTCAGACCACACCACTGTTATGCTAATGCCAGCATACAGGC